TCCGTGGCAGTAGTATCCAAATATCCACATCTGGGTCCGTCTGGAGAAAGTTGGAAGCGCTGCACTCCTTATGACCTCCCACACATCTTGATATGTGATCGGCCCTTTAGACAGGACATCGCGCGCCATCGCTTCATTTTGAATGACCTCATCCTTCAGCTCCGCACCCACGCAAGCTACTTCATCATCCCAGGTGTACTGCATCAGCTCTTCAAGTGTGCACGTTTTGCACTCTGTCCAACCATCATCACCCCCACTGGCCTTGGCTGACAATGCTGAAGAGGATTGCGTCTTGAAGTACCTGGAAAGCATGATCCTGATTGGTTTAAAATCCTGCCACGTGAGAAATGGTAGGCCATTCTGAATACTGCATCTCACTGACTGCTTCTCGCCATGCTGATCCACGTAGCTTACCACTGCACCACGTTGGTTCCAGCAAAACGTGCCACCTGCATCCACCAACCTGCGGACACTCAGCAACCAATCCTTCGAAGTGGGGCTAGCCTTGATGCAGAGCTCTCCGTCTCTGGTCTTCAGAGCTGGCACCTGATCACCTGAAGCAGTGATTACAGAAGTGCGTCTGCAGCCGGTCTCGTTTATATCTTTGGTCCATGGGCGAATCGTCTCGTTCGCTCCAGAGGCCACCAAGACTGAGGGCTCTGTAGTCTGCGATTCCGCTGCAACATTACTCACAGGACAATCCATACACTCCAGTCTTGATGCAACCACAGACGCCTTTGCGCCAACCAAGCTAGGAATATCATGCTGATCTTCTACCTCCACGCATCGCATAGCTGTAGGAGGACCTTCTGACGAACTTGGATGGGCTTCTGAGCTGTCCTGGTCTGCTGACGCTTGGCTGAAGTGGTACGATTCCTCATCATCGGACACCAGCAAACCTGATTCAAATGCCTCAGCAGTCGCCTCTGCAAAAACCAAGTTTCTAGCATCCCCTGCCCTGAGATTATACGCTGTTGCTTTCGCCAACGGAGTCACTGGATACCCAAGCCTCGGCGGCGGCGTCGCTGGCCGAGGTCTGGCCGATGAGGCACCAGCAAGCCTGGGCGGCGCTGCCTGGCTCCTCTCGAGCTCTTCTTCTGGAATCACAACTGGTCGCTGTTGGTGACGTATTATGGCAACATATCGCTCATTGCCAGTCTCCTCCTCAAGAAGCCAAACAAGAAAGACAGGGCGTGCAATTTGGTCATCAAACATAACCAGCGCAATGTCGCATTGAAGGATGTCAACCCCATCCACAACTGGAATGGTTCCCTGCTCATTCTCATCAAGCTCATCATGAAGAATACTCCACCATAACGGCCAGCAAATACTGCGTGGGTTCGTCGTCTCAACAAACTCATGGCTTGCGCGTGAGTGAACAAACCCAGGTCTCCGCCATTGCATGTACTCGGTGACAGAAAGTTCTAAGGTCCAAAGTGGCTCAGGCTGTTGCTGAAAGTTGAGCGAAACATCACTGCCTTCAGACTCCGCCTCCTCACTGGAGAACTCTCCACGTTCCACCTCAGACCATTCCGGAGTGTCACCGTCAGCTCGCATGGGGATTCCCGAGATGCTCGGATTATTGTCGCTGTCGCTGTCTGGCTCATCATTCAAGTTGCTAGCCATCATTGCACAAGGTCTTGAAGAAGATTCCTGCGCTGCACAAGCTGCTCCTGCCAAAGCTGGGACGTCCTCAAACTCCTGCGCTGCAGCTGCTGTTGAAGATGCTGCCTTTGCGGCTGCCTTCGCAGCCTTCTTCTCTGCTTTTGTCTTGGCTCTGGCAGAAGGTGTCGGAGTTGCGTCTGCAGCAGCCTTAGCCTCTGCTTTGGCCTTGGCCTTCGGTTCTGCAGACTTCGTTGCGCCCTTATCTCCTTTGCCATTCTTGCCACCCTTGCCCTGTGCGCCCTTTCCTTTCTGGCTTGTCCCCCCTTGTTTCTCATGCCGAAAAGTGCAATCAGATCCTTTGAGGCATCCCCTAGCAGTGTTGTAGTACGCGCAGAGTGGTTTCACACCCTTTCCTCCAGCAGCCTGATTAGCCGCTGGCATATCGTACTCTCCAACATCTCCATGCTTCGGCCCTCCTCGCGACGCCGTTTGCTCCTCTGCAAAAATTCGAGTGCACTCAGCCTCCAAGATCTGCAAGTATGAAGAGACGCCATCATGAGTAGGCACCTGAATGTTGTGCTGAAGTCTCATAAGGCTCAGTCTTGTGCCCAGCAACGTGTGTTTCTTTTCCAGCTGCCGACACAAGCCGTCGAACGCTGCAATGGACTCATGAGGTGCCTGCTCGGGGATCTTCAGGTACTCCGCTCGCTGTTTAGCAAGCCGCCATCGTCGAAGAGTACCCAAGAGTTCCTTGCACGAGTTGGCAACAGGAAGCTGCCTCAGGAACCGCTGCAAGGACACCTGTTCGCTGACTCCTCCAGGCATGAACACTTCACATGCTGCTTCCAACAATGCGATGGTGGAAACCGCTTCATCGGATGATCCCTTTTCAAGCGCCGGCTGCTTCATTGAAGTTGGCAGGGCCTTGAGGAGGGCAAGACTTAAGCGCGTCTCCATTTCTTTGTCGCTGCTGGCCACAACAGGTAGCGGAGGTGAGCAGCCATCACGCAAGCGTTTCTCGTAGAGCTCCTGGCCCTCACGCAGCCTGCGTCTGAAGAACTCAGCCAACAACGGTGAAATGGCTTCCGCGAGCGCTGAGGCCTCAGTGGCCCATTGGCGGAATGCCATACCCTTTTCCCAGGGATCTCCCTGAGGCATCACTAGCCGAGGGAAGTCTTTGATCAACTTCCATTGGCCAGGCGGAATCCGATTGCCTCCTTGGTCAGGAGAAACTGTGGATAAGCCAGGCGGCAGCTGCTGCACTGCCTCCAGCTCTTCCTCTTCGTCATCATCGTACCAGCCGTTTCCAGCCTCAGGACCTGACTGGCGCCCAGCCTCCGGTGTCATGAGATATCTTTCCGGTTTCCCAGGTCCAGAAGTCCGCGGCGTGGAAGGCTCAACTGGCAGCTGTTCAATCACTCTGTCCGCCATGTTGGACACAGGACGGCGCGACACCTTATCCTGCTCCTGCACCTGATCGTCGCTCAAGTGGGATGACAGAATGACCAACTGCTTGCTGATCTCCTCATAGCGTAGCTGAAGCTTGCTAGTGACCTTCTCGTTGGCCACCATTCGCTCCAGGATACTGCTCAACTCCTTCGTGCTGTCCTTATGAGATGCAACAGATGTTTCAAGCTGTTTCTTAAGCTTCTCAATCTCCCACTGTTCATCCATAAGGCGTTGTGTCCATATAGCCCCATCACCTTTGGTCATAAACTCCTCCTTTGCAAGTTTCACCAAACGTTCAAGGGTTCTTTCTTCGTGTCCAGATCCAGACTCATCTTCGGACCCATCGTGTCCAATGCTGAGTTCCAGAAACTTTTTGTCGTGCGCGCGCAATTTGTCACCACACTCAGCCATGACATCACTGACCTGAGAAGCTGCGTCCTTCATCGAGTCTACAGTTCCACCAAGTGCGTCCACTTGGCACAATGATGCTTGTAGGCCTTGCACCATTTGATTAAGAATGTCCAACTTCGTGTTAACATCTGCCTCAAATGATGTGTTTGCCCTTGACTGCATAGCCAACGCCTCCTCAAGCTGACCAATACGCTTAGACATCTCAGAAAACTTGCTATCAGCCTGTTTCCAAAGCATATCCGACTTTTGTAGCGAAAGGCCAACGTTTCCCAGATCAGCTTTCACTGCTTCTGCCTCACCAGCGATGGATGAGACACAAGTTGCCAGACGCTCTGTCCGATACTGCACGTCAGACCCCAACTCCTCAAGCCTCCTCTGCACATCCTCTAGTGATGACAAAGTGGTCTGAGTAGCTTGGTGCTCTGAATGCAACATATTCAAGAATTCTGCCGGCGCCTGCACTTGCAACAGCTGCTGTAATCTGAAACCTGAGGGGTGCTGAGCAGACGTAGCATACCTCCAGCTCAGAAGTGGATCCGGTCCACTGCCAAACGCCTGGTCTGCTTGGGCTTCTGCTGGAGCTCTGCTCGGGTTCGTAGTTGGGCTAGTCATAACCTGTGATTGTGTGCTTGGCTGTTCTGGGCTCAAGCGGTCCGTGACTATGCTATAGGCAGGACTCATCTGCAGCTGCTGTTGTTGTTGTTGTTGTTGCTGCTGCTGCTGCTGCTGTTTGAACTGGTGAGGAACATCATCAAGAGGGGAGTACGGAAGCATCACTTATCCCCATACATCCGACTTAAGCCCCCGAAACGACCTGGGTTAGGGCCTAGGGAGTAGCTACTAGGGAGTAACAGCGGGCTCCAGGACAGGGTTCGGGTCTAGGGTACCGGGCAACCGGGGTCCTAGATTCAACACCCTCACCAAAACCAGACAACCTCGTCACTCGAGTCACTTCTCGATTTTGCTGTGTCATCTTGAGCCACATGTAGTGGCGATGCTAATCTTCTCAAGTATCGTTCCTGCAAAAGCAAAGAGTCATCCTTGCGCAGGGGTCATGCAGCAATCAGTCTGCCACATTCTTCAACTGATCTTGCACAGCTGCTGTCAACGCTCTCTACAAACACAATAGGGTTTAGGGTTTATAGGATTTAGGGTTTCGAGTACCCAGGTTCGTAGATTCCTGACAAGGCTTTGGGGTCCCAGTGGCCAAATCCGTCTGATCGACCCTGAACCTCGCTTGCGCCAGGCACGGCCTTCTGCAATACCGCTCCTGGCCTGAATCCTATAAAAGCCCTTAACTCTCAACCCTATAGTTCACTTCAAGCCGGAGGCAGAAGGTGCAGAGGGTGTTGAGGTCTGGGAAAGCTCTGAATTTTGGGGGCGCTGGCGTGCTTTTGGGTTTGGGTTCAGGGTTTCAGCACAAAAAGCAGCCAAAAGAATTGGGGTGTCGGGTCACTTTTGGACTCACAGACCCAGTCGGAACGGGTCGACTTTGTTCTTGGTTCGAGGGGGCAGCTGTAGCGAAATGACTCCGAATGCGAGATGTGCGCCAATGCAAGGGATCAGTGGAATATATATATATATATTATATAAATATATATATATATATGTAAATATATAAATGTATAAATATCAATTTATAAATATAAATAAATAAATAAATATATATATATATATATACATATATATATATTATAGATGTCTACTTGGGTTTAGGGCGAGTGCGGGGCTTGCACGTTTGATCATTTTTGTGGTGACTGGCTGCCACCGCCCCGTCCCCACCCCTCCCCCTCAACGCAAAAAAAGAGAGTCGCCCTCTGAAACCCTAGAAGCCCAAAATCCTAAACCCTAAACCCCAGCAAAAGACAAAAAGAGTCAACGCCTCAAGAGAAAGCCCTAAACCCTAGACCCTAAACCCTAAAGGCTCGCACCAGAACAGCGCGGTCAAGGAGAAGTTCTCTCCAAGGCCCCTGGTGCCCACCGTAGCAAGGCCGGGCCAAGCTTCTCCGAGCCCTAAACCCTAAACCCTAAAGCAGAAACCCTAAACCCTAAACCCAGCAAAGGAAAGCCTAGAGTGTCGCGAGAACTAGCCATTGTATAGAGAGCCTGCAGACACCCCAGCGGGATGTATTGGTGAGGTACTTTGTGAGTATACATTTGGTATAGTCTGGTGGTGGGGGGTCAGCAGTTGAATACCGGGGAGAAACGGACCCTGGGTGTCACCTATCAAGAGACCTACCAACCTATGCCTTGCCGGCCTTTTGCGAAACCCTAAACCCTCAACCCTCAACCCTCAATCCTCAACCCTCAACCCTAAACCCTAAACCCTAAACCAAACCCTAAACCCTAAATCCTGTTTTCAGGGTTTAGGGTTTAGGGTGTCGGGCTTAGGGTTTAGGATTTGGGGTGTAGGGTTGAGGGTTTAGGATCCCTAAGCCCGAAATTCCCTAAGGGGTTCTTCAACAAGGGTTCCCCAAGCCTTGGCCCAAGAACACACCCATGCAAGTGCAAGGTCGCGAGACCCTTGAAGATCATGATCTCTCACAAGTTGAGGGTTTAGGGTTTAGGGTTTAAACTCACACTGGCCATCCTGGATGTTTGGGGGCCCGGACACAGCAAACGGCCAGCGTCGGAGAAAGCACTTTGGTTTAGGGTTTAGGGTTCAGGGTTCAGGGCTTAGGGTGGACCATTTGCTTATAAGAACCCCCCCAAAAAAATAGAAATAAAAAACATATAGTAATCCCTATACTACCCTCATAGGGAAGAATATGTTTTTGATTTTTGGGGGTTCTTAAGCAAGTAGTACTATAGCGTCTGGAAGTGACGACCAGCTGACCTCCTGGCAGATTCTGCCTACGAAGCTGGGCGCGGTCCCCCTGATGCTGGGCATTTGAGACATCGTTTGCTCTTTCCATTGGTTTAGGGTTTAGGGTTTTGGGTTTTGGATAGGGTTTTAGGGTTTGGGGTGCAGGGGTTCAACAAAAGGTTTCAGGGTTTAGGGTTTAGGGGTTTAGGTTTGGGTTTTCCCGGTGGTTAGACACCGTGGTTGAGGTCTCCCCCCTAAACCCTAAACCCTAAACCCTAAACCCTAAACCGTGTGGTGAAGCTCCTTTAGGGGGCTTGTGCTTTGGGGCCCCTGTGGGACATTCCAAGGCTAAGGTTTTCTCGATTCCCCCAAGGCCCCAGACTTTCAGTGCCCCCAAGCCGTCCCAGGCCTGCCAAGGCACAGAATTTAACACACAGAATTTAACAGTTTAGGGTTTAGGGTTTAGGGTGTAGGGTGTAGGGTTTAGGGTTTAGGGTTTAGGGACACTAAGTCATTTAGAGGTTTTGGGGGTTTGGGGGTTTAGGGGCCCCAAACTTTTGATGAGATCCGAGGATCAGCGACGACCGGCAGAGACTGACCCGGCAGCGCATCGAAAACACGTTGTGCCACTCGCGCGCCATCCAGGCTCCGAGTCCTGCTCTAAGGGCTTATAGAGTTAATAGGGTTTATGGGGTTCAGAGGGTTCATAGGGTTTATAGGGTTTATAGGCAGGGTTTAGGGTTCAGGCAGGCTCCGAGTCCTGCTCTAAGACCGCGCTCGCGCAAGGGCTTTTGGGATTCGTTTGGGGTTTATAGGGTTTATGGGGTTGATAGGGTTTATGGGGTTTATGGGGTTTATAGGGTTTATAGGCAGGGTTTAGAGTTTAGGGTTTAGGGGTTAGGGTTTAGGGATATGCGGGTGTGCACGGACATCGGGTGCTTACTTCTGAACTCCAGGTCCCAAGAGGCACAGGAGCTCCCGGCTACTAGGCCCCCTAAACACTAAACCCTAAAGCCTAAAATCCTCAAAGCTTTCAGGGGCTCCGATGAGGGTGAGCCTTACCCTCTCCCTCAAGTCCCTCAACCCTGAACTCCGCAAACACCAGGATGGTCTAACATACCCCACAGTCCCTTAAAAGCCCTTTATAGGGGTTGGTTCTGGGGTTTGAAAGGCCTATATACCTTATAGTCCCCTTGAAAGGGGTTGATTCTGGGGTTTAAAGGGCCTAACAGCCCAGCATGGGTTACTATACCTTATAGTTCCCTAAAGAGGCCCTTTATAGGGGGTGATTCTGGGGTTTTGAAGACCTAGTAATCGCCCATCCTACAAGGGCTCTTAATTAGAGATCTCTATGAAACCTAAACCCTAAACCCGAAACCCTAAACCCGACCTTGGACAGGCCGAGGTCATCAAGTACCGCGATCGCGTGTCCGGCAAGCTGGTCGAAGCGCGCAGCTGCGACCTGCGTTTGGGGTGCAGGATTGGGATGTTGCCCCCTTTTCTTGTAGCAGCTCCTTCATAGGGATTCTACCCCCCCGTATAATTCCACTTTTCTTGTAACTGCTCCTCAAAAAGGGATTATCGTACCCCCCCCGCCCCCTATAATTGGAATCACTGTTCAGGACTGTGAGTATAAGAAAGTTCAGGACTTCCGGCTTAAGGTTCCAGGCTTGGGTATGGAAGGTTTCGGGTGTCAGGGCCTCTCGGCTGTCAGGGTGGGGGGGGTGCCTTGGGGCAGAAGTAAGACGTAAAGGGAGGAGGGAGGGAGGGGGAGAGAGGCAGAGAGAGAGACTGAATGGGGGCACTAGACCTCTTAATAATAAGATAAGAGTCCTACAACGGTGATGCGCCATCCCCAAAATCCCGCACACTTCGGGTTTGGGACCGATTCTGCTTGTGGGCGTCCCGTCCTAGGGTCGAAAGTTGAGGCTTCAGGAAGGCAAGATGGTGTTAGCATCAATGGCTTGGGCTTTGGGCCGTGTTTTTTTCTGTGTGTGCTCAAGCACCTTTGAAGATTTTGAAGGGCTCAGAAAGACCCTGCCCCATTAGCTCCCTGGCCGCTTGAGATTGCAAGGCATTCCGTCAGCGGTGCTGGCTTTGCTCCGACTGAGGGCTTCTTGCAGTGGGACGCCTGCCAGGGTTTAGGGTTTGGGGTTTGGGGTTTAGGGTTTGGGGTTTAGGGTTTCGGGTTTCGGGTTTAGGGTTTAGTGGGTTGGTTTCGAGCCCAGAGGCTGCGAGTCATGTGTGGTCAAGTAGGAGCTCCGGGAGCCGTGTGGATCCTGGGACCCTCAACGCAAAACCCAAGGATGGAAGAAGGGAGGTTAGCAAAGCTACAAGTTGGCATTTTAGAGAAGGCCTCATGCCCAAAGCCATTTGGTTACCTGCAAAGCTGCCATGTGCTCTCCGAAAGCTATGCAAGGAGGGGCCCCCGGACTGTAGTAACTATACTTCACAGACTTATAACCTAAGATAGGATCCTTAAAGCCCAATTTCGGGTCCTTAGTACTCTACTTGTAACGTGGGGGTCCCTTCTTGTAAACGGTAAGCGCTGCAGCCCTGCGAAGCCTACGGAGTGATGCAAACTTTAGAGTGTGTGTTTGAATGCTGTTACGTGTTGTGCTCCTGTAAATTAGCTTGCAAATCTTATGGAGTTGAGGGTCGAGGTTCAAGCGGGTCCGCGCAGGAAGCCTGTCTCAGATCTCCGTCTCGCACGGATGGCGGCAGATGTGCTGCGCAGTCGCAAGCCAGAGTTCTTGCCTGCATGCCTTCTTTGCGGTTTAGGGTTTAGGGTTTAGGGTGTAAGGCTGATTCACACAGACTAGGCGTGCTGCGCTGGCAAGAGCACAGCACTCTGGACCATGACCTGGCTTGCGCGATGTTCAGTATGCATAGCATAATGACCTTGCCCCGAGGATGGAGGAGCACGCCTTCGACCCCGTGCGAGCGGTGGCGGCCCTGTCTCCTTCCTCGCAGCTTTGGCGGAGATTGAGGGGGGCTCAAGGTTACGCCAGGGTTTAGGGTTCAGGGTTTAGGGTTTAAGGTTCAAGGGTTTAGGGTTGAGGGTCTAAGGTGTTCAGGATTTAGGGCTTAGAGGGCACTGCAACACATCTACCAGCCCGCGCTTAAAAAGAAGAGTTTGCGGTCTCCGGGATTTAGGGTCAGGTCCCTGACAATCCCCATGACGCAAAGCCTCCCGTCGCCCAAGCTTCAAGTACGGCCTCCGCTGCAACACAAGGAAAGCCGCACTTTGACAAGTCCGGGGCTTGAGCAAGGGTTTAGGGTATACTGGTATCATGATGTGCACTGGTATCATGGTATAGGAGTCGATCTAACTCCTCTAAACGGCACTTTGAATTTCAAGGCACCAAGCTCTGCCCAGCAATATTTCAACGAAAAGCACCCTTACCCCCTAAAGCCCCCAAGCCCCACCGGCCGAATGGGTTTAGGATTTCGGGTTTAGGGTCACTCGACGAAACTATACAATCCTCCTACAATTGAAAGGCTACCCTTCTTGGGGCCAGGGTACTCAGCAACTAGGCCTCTGTGCTTAACAGACCTTCCCTACAACAGGGCCAAGCCCCCATTTCGGGGTATGAGGGCAAGTCTCCAGCCCGCTTACCGCTGATTTTACTTAACCTTGTGTATGGATTCAGGCTCCTACCCCCTCAAGGATGTTTTTTCTAAGAGGTCCCCTGACTAGGCCATTTTGCGTCCTTAGAGGATACCCAAACCCAAGCGTACAACCTTTACCCTACAGACCCTAAACCCTAAACCCTAAACCCTCTTTGGCCCCCAGCCAGGATCCTGTGCCCGACGGGAGCCCTGCGCGTTTTGGGCAGCGGCTTTATTGGCACGGTGTTCCTGGAAGAGGCGCCGCGCTAGGGTTTAGGGTTCAGGGTTTAGGGTTTTGGGTTTTGGGTTTTGGGTTTAGGGGTGGCAGCGGTGTAGGGCTTCTTGGGTGAACTTTTGGGGGGCTCCAGGTCAGGCTTGAGGGTTTTGAGCCGCGGCCGATGGACAGTGCCTGCGTGACTGCCAATCAAGGCCCTCAACCCTCGCCACGTCGAATAAAACTCCAGCTCCTGCCGAATCAGCTATAAGACAATGAGGCTGTGGCAAGACGGCATTTTTGTTTCAACAGGGGGTACTGGCAGGAGACGGGGGAGGTCGCCAAAGTTATGCTGGACGACTTCGCCAAGAAGGAGCATTCTGGCTTAGCATGTTTCTACTATTTGCTTCAGAGCCCCCCCCCCCCCCAAAAAAAAAAAATATATATATACAATCTTCAAACAAAGTTTCCTAAGAAGCGTAGCATAGGGATTGTTGTCTTGATGTTTTGGGTGGTTCTTAAGCAGATAGTAGGTTTGTTTTTTATGCTGCTGGCGACAGAATGGAAGCCCTGTCCTTAAAGCTGTTTTCAGAACGCGGTTTTCGGGTCATTTTGCTTACATCCCCAGTTCTTCAAGAGAGGCATGCCCTAAGCAGTGAGGGTTTAGGGTTTAGGGTTTAGGGTTCAGGGTTGCGTGGGTGCAACAAAAGGGCCGATGACAGTTTGCCCTGGCCATTGGCAGGCCGGGTAACACCACAGCATCGTCGCCGATAAGAACCCCTATCCTGCATGTTGCCAAAAGCACTGGCCCTACCCCTCAGGGTCCATGTACCTAAATAGGAAAAACTTGGGCCTTAAAGTCTTCCTTTTTCGGGGCTTTCGAGCCCAAGTATATAAGAGTGAGGTGCATGGACGCTTAGTTAGGGTGCTTTCTCTCAGGTACGACCTTTGCCGTGCGTTTGCCTCTGCACGCCTAGCACCATCGCCGATTTCACTGGATGGCCCTTGCTGCGTTCCCGGCGGAGAGCTGTACTGCAACTTGGCCAGGGGCCGGTGTAGTGCTGGTTCTACCTAGAGGAGCCTCAACGTCCGAATCCCAGTGGGTCTAGGGTTTAGGGTTTAATTAGGGTTTAGGGTTTAGGGACCATTCTAGTTAAAGAGACTCTTTGGACGGGTGGCCTGCCAAGGGAAGCTTTAGCCGTCAAACGCACCAGGCTTGCGGCCAGAGCGCCGGAGCCCTGCCCCTCCTCCTTATCCCCGCGATGGCGCGCAGGGACGGACGAATCTTTGGTAAAGTTGTGTTGTCTAAGCGTGCCCATGAAGTTATTAACTTGCCGTGGGCATTGCGCTTAGCGCATGGGCACAAGGTATTCGAATGGAGCGAATCACCAACACACTCCACGACGTTCTTTGCGCTGCCTGGCAGGTTTTTGTTTCGGGCGGCCCGAAAGAAAGGGCATTCGGGTTTAGGGGAACCCTGCAGTGGTTCTGCAGTTCTCAGCCGTCAATGCAGCAGAAGACTCGTCAGGCCTCCGAGTGTCCGCTCACCGGCTCTGCCTTGCTGTAGTGTGGGGCGTCCCTCTGAATAAGACCCCTACTCTACTGAAGATGCTGGAATTGAAGAGCCAGTGGGCTGGGACCACCACATGCTATCCTGCATCCCTTTTTTAGTAGGAGCGACGTCGATGACCAACTCCTGCTACTCAAATAATGCTCACAAATGAAACCGACCCCGCCGAATCTTCATTCGGGGGATTTCGGGGGCCTATGTTTAGGCAAATGGAGCCCCAGGTATACAACCCTGAGCCCTCTACCCTACACCTACAGGGTATATTTAGACATCATCGGAAGAAGTGCACAAGCCCCCCTGGCGCTGGTTGAGGCAAAAGGCTGCCGGGGCCTCCGCCACGGCCTTGCGCCGCCCGACGCGGGCGTGGCGAGGAGGAGCTGTTTTGTTTTTAAACAAAGACACATATGAGCAAGCGCCAAAACCCCCAGCCATTCAAGTAAGCAAAGGGTGGGCAGGAATGCCTGAAAAGTGACACCCCTAAGTTCATGAACCGTTGTGGCGGGCTATGACCTTGAATGCTCCCCAAGCGACACCTGCAGACATCAAGCGTGGAATGCTGATGCTAAAACCCTGCAATAAAGCGATGGGAACACTTAGAAAGCGACACCCTTCATGTTGCGTCCATTAGCACCGCCAGCCGGTTCTGGCAGTCGCTCATGTATATAATGTATGATATATGTATAGAGAGAGATGTATTTTGACATGTTGTCATAGTATCCGATGAATTATTGTGTTGGTGGAGTATTGTGTTGTTAAGCAATGTTGAATACCACAGAGTGTTTATAAGCAGGGCATATAGGGGCAGTTCTGCTTTAGTTTTCGCTGCCCTAGATATCAGGCTCTGCACCGTGTCCTCACAGGACCCCTTGTTGTTCTTCATTATCCTTTCCTGTTTCGCTTTTTCTTTTTTTAGTACGACTCAGTACTCTTTTCTGGTGCATGTTTCTGGTTATTGTTCCAACTTTCTGGAGTTTACTGTAGGGTCTGCTCCTTTTCTTATTGTATCATGAGATTCGTATCGTGTATTCGTACCTTGTGTATTCGTACGCTTATGTTCTACTTTATTCATACTGACACATCACAGCTACTGGGTTTCTTTAGTTTTATACCATTAGCTTATGCTACTTCTGTTTAACCGTGTTGAATGATGAACAGTTTATGACAGCATACTACCCCTAACAACTACAAGCAGTCTTTATTTCGATCCCGCATCCGATGCAGGATCGGCTCCGCCATGGTCCAAGCCTTCCAGGACATGTTCGATGCGGGGCTGGTCCACGGCAGCTCGGCCTATTTTTAAGTGGATTCTGCCATGTCAGGATGGGCTATTCGGCCCTAAGTTTAGGGCCAGGGTTTAGGGTTTAGGGTTTAGGGTTTAGGGTTTAGGGTTTAGGGTTTAGGGTTTAGGGTTTATCAGGCCCTTTAATCCCCATAATCAACCCTTAAAGGGCCTTTTTGAGGGTTTATGGGGTATTAGAGCCCATGCTGGTGTTTGGGGCTTCAAAGGGGCACCCCTAGGTAAACCCTCCACTCGGGAAAAGCGGCGGGCTCTTTGACTTAAGAGTCTTCTGTGATTTGTTGGCCAGGCAGGCTATAGTTTGTTCTAGTGCGTTTCCCTGCTTCGTCTGACGCTGACGAGTGCCCTGGCATTGGGATTCACTGGGTTGGTTCGCCAACTGGGAGTGTTAATATATGAGAGCGATGTTGGGTTCGCACTTGTGTCCACTTATGCCCTAAACCCAAAACCCTAAAGCGTTGCAGCCCCGTAGTCAGCTGAAAGTAGCACGTCGTCAGGAACTGAGCACTCCCTTTCAGGGGGTGGTGGTGTCATTTGTGTGTTAAATCTTCTACCCGTCAGTGTACATTGATTTGGGGCTTTGGCTCCCTTTTGGTTATTAGATTACAGTCGACCATGAAGCTGAAACGCGAGCCGCGTAGTTGCCCGGAAAACAAGAAAGCTGACCAATTGCGCAACAGGCTTGTGCCACAGATCCCATTGACCAATTGTACAGGAGGAGGCAGGTTTTAAGGTGTGAGGCAGTTGTGCCGCTGTCTCTCGATGGATCCGTCCCCACCGTTGCCTCAAGGCTTCAATTTAAGGCGTCCCGTCGTTACTAAACACTAAACCCTCAACCCTGAACACTCAACCCTATACCCTAAACCCTAAACCCTAAACCCTAAACCTCGGTTTTCTTTTGGGGCCTATAGTGGCAAAGCCCAGCAAAACGCAGCGTTTCAAGGCGACCTGCACTTGAAGAATGCGGGCTTGTGCCTCGGCCGGCTGGAGGGGCTAAAGCTTGGGTTTAGTAGGGCTTAGTAGGGTTTAGTACTGTATGGTTTAGTAGGGTTTAGTAGGTTTAGTAGGGTTTACTAGGGTTTAGTAGGGTTTAGTAGGGTTTAGTCGGGTTTAGTAGGGTTTAGTAGGGTTTAGTAGGGTTTAGTAGGGTTTAGTAGGGTTTAGTAGGGTTTAGTAGGGTTTAGTAGGGTTTAGGGTGTGGGGGTGTGGGTCGGGGGGGAAAGCTGAGGGCACATGAGATGAGAAGGGTTGAGAAGGCTTAGCAGACCACAGATTGCCTTGAAGCCCTAAACCTTACTGAAGGCGCACAAAAAAACGCAAAACAAACTGAAGACCCTGCTGGCGTCCCACCCTCAAAACCCTGCATCTGCACCCCTTTAAACACGACCCGCGCGCAAGGAAAGATGTGGAGTCCAATCCGGCGGTACCCTGGCCTGATTCCCTGTAGGGGTTACTATAGATGTTTATATATGCTCGTGCTTTTGTGTTGTTATATGGTTCAAGCGTTCTACTGCTACATCATATTTGCATCTTTTCTACTAGTATATTACAGTGTCTTATATTCTTATATTCTTATATTCTTATATTCCTTATATTCCTTATATTCTTATATTTTGTATGCTTCTAGTTACATACTACAAACGTCTCCAACTCGTTGGAAGGGTTACGAGTTGGGAGTCCAGCTCGGCATGTCTCAGACCGAAAGTGAACCCTCCTAGGATTTAGGGTTTAGGGTTTAGGGTTTAGGGTTTAGGGTTTAGGGTTTAGGGTTTAGGGTGGTTTAGCTCTTCTTATGTTCGTTATGTTACCATCTTTGTGAGTTATTGCTATAGTTTTTCCCCCTTCAGAGAAGTAGGAGCTTGGCACGTTTCAGCATCACGTCAGTTCTGGCCTCCCGGGTGCCCGAGCCCCTCGGGCACTCAGTTTTGTCTTGCTATACTAAACGTTAGCATATTAAAGCGTGTTTTTTGTATATTCTCACAGTATATATATATATATATATATATGTAGATTTAGATATAGATATAGATATAAGTATATGTTATATATATGTATATATGTATATATTCTTATATAATAGTTTATTTTCACATCATCATCGATAACGAGTACAGTAGCTGCTGCGGCCAAGGTTCAGCTGATCGACTTCGGGCGTTCTGCCAGCAAGGCCCGGGAGCCTTCAAAAAGTCAGATCTTCCAAAGCGCGCGCAAAGCCTTCTAGACCTGTACCCTAAACCCTAAACCCTGCAGTCTAAGCATGTGTGGATTCGTATTGCGTGACAGCTGAACAACAACGTGTGAGCTATACCTCATACTCAACAGCCCCTCTTCCCCCTCGCCCTAAGTTGGCTTTGAATTGGCAGGCTGCATGTACAGACAAGCCTTGCAATGAAGCGTTCCGCGCCGGCCACGCCTCTCGGCGCAAAAGGCTTGGTTCACAACCCCGAAGCCTGCACCCAGAACCCTATAAACACAAGCTTCGCAATCCCAACACCTCCAGTTCCCGGGCCTGGCGTCCTTGTCGAGCTGCCTCACTTTTGCAGATGGCCGGGCTCAAGTTGACAAAGCCCAGCGGCAACAGAAACACCACAGAGCAAGCTAGAATGCCTTGGGCAACTTGCACGCTCAGGAGTACGACGTGTGTCGATTTGTTGTGGAGCTCTGCGAGGCCTTTGACGGGCTGCTCGGCCGCTCTTTTGGTGCTTTGCACGATGCCCCATAGGCTGCCTGAATCCCTAAACCCTAAACCCTACCCCTAAGATGCCTTAGGCGTGAAAACCCTAAGCCCTAAACCCCAAACCCTAAACCCCAAACCCTAAACCCTCAACCCTAAACACCCCCTCATGCTGCAGGCTGCAGTACGACTTTGAGAAGGTTGTCCAGGACGGGAGTTCAGACAACCAGCGCGCAGAGGGCCCTCGTGGCCCAATCTGATCGCTTCCGCTCTTTGGTGATAAGGGGTTCAAGCCTGCTGCTCTGTGCCGGATCTGCTGGGTAAAGGGCACCGTTTGCTGGCAGGCATCTCAAGAACTCAAGATGCCCATTGCAATCCTGGTTCCCCTAAACCCGAAACCCGAAACCCGAAACCCGAAACCTAACAGGAGTGTCAGAAGGAGCTCCGAGAGCTGAAGAGGACCAAGGAGGCTGCGTCGCCTGTTGCCGTGCCTCAGCCTGCTTGCGGGACCCTTCCCCCCTCCCCAAAAATCCTCCATCTTCTTCGGAACTTGTCATTTATATAGAACAATTCATCAAAAGTCTTTAAGGGATGTTTTAGCACGCCATTATTCATGATGGTTTTACGGGAATAAACAGGAAAGCTGACACATACGGAAGTTGGGCTCAATATCTGAGCAACCAACACAGGCAGGTTGCCCGGTTTTCTGAATTGTTTTTGTTTTCTTTCTGGTATGATTAAGAAAGCATCGCACAGCCGGAAGTATCAACATCGTGTTGGACCAAAATCTGCGACCTACCGGGGCGACTATGCAAAATCCGTAGAGCAGAGCGAGGAGGCCTCACCGCCGGTTATGCGCGGCCTTCGCTTGGGGCCCTGGGGCTCGAAACCCTTCAGCCCTAAAACCTAAACCCCTAGCTCTAAAGCCTAAACCCTAAGTTTATGAACCCTAAACCCTTTGTCCTTGAGCCCGGGTCGCCCCTAAAGCCCAAAAAGCCCGCGCGGCAAGTGGATCAACAATCGTCATCCCCTCGGTGTTGAGTGTGGCATCCTGGGCCCCTTAGGGTTTAGGGTTTAGGGTTTAGGGTTTAGGGTTCAGGGTTCAGGGTTTAGGGTTTAGGGTTTAAGGTTCAGGGTTTAGGGTTTAGGGTTTGTGGACTTCTCGATGCCCTGGACAGCCACCTAACCCATGGCCCGCCCCCGAAGAACGTTGCAAATGGGTCTCCTAGACCCTAAACCCTAAACCCCAAACCCTAAACCCTAAACCCTAAGCCCTGTTGTTGGTGTCAAGGATTGGGAGCTACACCATGCCCGGCAGATTGCAGGCCTACAGGCCTTCTTGGCGGAAGAGCCCAAGGCCGTCTGCGCAAAGAGGGGGTCTCTTTTTGAGGGCTTAGGGTATTTTACGGGTGTATGCGCATATTGGATTGCAGGCTTTCTATGGCCTACATCCGAAATCCCTAGTTTGTTAAGGCCTTTACGTGCCAGCAATTCTGCTGCAGCGCCAGTAGTCTGGTCCCGTTTCTCTCCGTCCCCGAAGCATACCTTGTGCATAAGATGTCACAACTACTATTTGCTTAAGAACCCCCCAAAAAAGAAAAAGATTCTTCCTTTTAAGGGTAACAGAGGCATTATGATTCTTAGCTTTTTTGTGTTTTCAGCAAAGAGTAGACAAAGAGAACCGTAATTCATAGCATGCGACCTGAAGCCCGTCTGGCAGTCCAGGCTCACCGGGAGCTCAAACTCAATAGATACCCTAGAGACGCGAAGCTCCTGGGAACGCTACTTTCAACCCACACACATTCTTCTCCACAGCAAGGATGCACTGTTCAGGGGCCACTTCTGAACCCCAACACTCCCTAAACCCTTATAAAACCTTAAACCCTGAACCTTGTGCAGTCGCGCTCAGTTGCTCAGATTCAGAGACAGCGCCGAGTAAGCCCTAAACCCTAAACTTCAGACACACGCGATATAACCCGGGCCTCGCACAGGGACTGGAGCGGGCCGAAGCCGCTTTCGACGCGGTGTTGAGCGTGGCACTTCGGTCGACATAAACTATATGGGTTTAGGGTTTAGGGTTTAGGCTTATGGTCTCCCCAATAGTAGGATTTCCGAATAAGGACCCCTATATACGGTACCCTGGATGCAACGAGAGAGAGAGAGAGAGAGAGAGAGGGAGAGAACAAGGTACCCCTAATTTCGAAAACCCCAAAATGTACCAGGAAGGAAGTTGGTGTTTAGGATCTTGTCAGCCTTTGGCCCCTTTATTGTTCAGGGTTCCTCCATAAACCCCAAAAAAGGTACCCTTAAGAGTCTACATGTGGAGGTATACTCTCCTCCATGAAGCCCAACCATTTCTAAACCCTTGATTTTTAGCCGCCTTAGAATCGAAAGTCCACGAAGATAAAACCTCCTGAGCCCTATAAGCCTCGCAGCAAAATACAAGAAGCTTATCATACAAGGTCCTCAGGCCTGAACCTCTGTAAGCCCGAAACCCTCCGAGATGTCTAGGCAGAAAGTGTGATGGATTTCGGGCATGGCGAACCTTTGGGTGGGAATTGGTGCTCCTAGTGGATTGGACATGTTAACATCTGAAGCTCTATTGTAGCGGATGCGTCGATGATGGAGTCTTTGAGTTGTTCCCTCAGTGAATGCCTACCTTCCTGCGAGGTGGACATGTCACTGCAGATATATGGGGGGCTTCCGAAATTAGGGGTACATTATAGGGGTCCTTGTTACAAGGGGATCCTATACTATTTGGAGATCTATATCAAGGGTGGCCCCCCCATCTTCGTAAAGCCCCATATAGGCGGTTGGCAACACAAATTTTCATATAGGCCCTAAACCCTAAACCCTAAACCCTAAACCCTAAACCCTAAACCCTAAACCCTACGGCAACAAAAGCCAAAAGGTGTTGAGCTATGCCATGGTCCGCCTGGAGCTTCCCGTGGAGGGGGCGGCCTCCGTGCGAAATCGCCGCATGCGCCAGGCCTCATCGGTGAGAAAGGGGGGTGGGGGGGGGGTCTTCGTGTTTGGGGTTTAGGGTTCAAGAGGGAGTTAGGGTTGAACCTGGCCAGTCCTCAAGCGCAGTTGCAAAAAGGGAGCCAGGGTTTTTGGCATGTTTTTGTGTTTTCTTGAATGTCTTGTACCTCAGAAGGGAGAGTGCAGTGAACTATATCTGCACGTGTACCCTGGGTAGTCTCGAGTCTCGAGCCAGCTGACGTAAAGAGTCTGGGTTCAAAAAAGGGAGTTAGGGAAAGGGCCGGTTTAGGGTTTAGGACAAAGTTTAGGAGGGTGGGTGGAGGTTCGTGGTTCTATCGGGTGGGTTGTGGGTTCAGTGCAGATACCGCAAGTATCGAGCCCGATGCTCCAAAAACATGTATCTCTTACACGGGTTCTGGGGTTGGTATTAGAACTCTGGCTCGTTTGTGTCGGGTTGGGGGCTTTAAATTGGTCTGTGGGATGAGAGGGAGCCGGCAAAATCATACTCTTACAGCCAGCAATGGTTGTGATGAGAACGTGCTTAGAGCTATGGCTGAGTTCGCGGGCGCGGAGTTGATAAACAGTTTTTGTGTACTTGAAGTACCTGCCGAGCGAGTAACCATAAGCCGCGCCCCAGAATCAGGGCTGCGACCCGCTTGCAAGACATGTCCCCATCATGGAGTATCGGGAATGGCATCTCATGTAATTGCACTCGCAAGTGTATAGTTGTACTTGGTGTTGTACTTAGCTACAGTTTAGCAGTAACTACTCTTAATTAGTAGGTATGACCCATAAAACTGTAGGTAAAGAGGGTCCCAGGTACTTGGTGTTGTGTTGTATTCCGCTGCGTTGCATGGCTTTTCCCACCACACCACACAGAGCACTGAGCATTGCAAGGTCTGCAAGAAGCGGGAGACGGTCACCTGGCAGGGATCTTGATGGACTGGGGAATTCGTGGGCCTGCGTCGGCTCAACATGCTACTAGCTGTGTGGCTTCATGACTGAACGCCGCTATGATCAGTAATCAAACTTAGCGCATATTTGGCAATTGGCGTGGGTGGTGTGGGTCGCGCCCAGGAGTATAGTATAGAGCATGCCTTCCCGCCCCTTCCCCAGTGTAGGCGTGCAAGCCCAAAAGGAACGCAACGCAAGACGTAACACATGCAACGATCTTGAAACTTGAAACCGCACCTGCGCCAGGCCAGCCACAAGGTGTACTTCAAGTCGGACTTGTTCTGGTCCGAGGATTTGGGCTGAGGCTACTTGGCGCCTGTGGCTCCCCCAACCGGCTCAAGCTGATGCGATTAAATGTCGTTTCTCGGTTGGACAAAGATGATGCATACAAGCCCTTCGGGATCTCCTTGCAAGGGATTGCCTTGTGTTATCCACATAGCAGATTCATGCTGCCAGCTCAGCGGGCGGGAATCTTCCGACTCCTGACACAGGTCAGGGGCCATTTTCGCAGTCACAGGCTTTGGCTGTCAGCCAGGGGCCGGCGCGCGCACTCTGTGAGCCAAGGCTGGTTCACCTCTTGCTGGCCCTGAGCTCCCTTCCCCTCCCCCCCCCCCAAAAAAAAAAAAGAGCAAGAGAAAGAATCAAAAACATGTCCACCGATCCCGAAGCCCTAAAAACCCGAATCGCTCCCTCAAAATCCCGGCAGCCGCTACGGTGGAGATCGAAAGCGCCCGAGGTTCGATGTGCTTGCAAGGAGGGGCCCGTGCACAGCAGCACCCGCTTGAGCTATGGAATTGCTGGTACCTGAACAACATATGCATATGCACATCTATATATATATATATATGTATAGCGATAGATATGTCTACATCAAGTGTATATATATATATACATATATATATATATGTGTACATGTATATGTATACGTACATGTATATGTATATGTATAAATATATATATATATATGGGTCACCGCCTATAGCGGTTCCCCTGTGTTTTTGCACATTCCCTGAAACCATTTAACCAAGAATCCCTCAAACCATTAAACCATTAAACCATTAAACCATTAAACCAATGGTTTTCCCCATATGAAAATCCACTAAACCATTAAACCATTAAACCATTAAACCATTAAACCAATGGTTTCCCCCATATGAGAATCCATTAAACCATTAAACCATTAAACCATTAAACCATTAAACCATTAAACCAATGGTTTCCCCCATATGAGAATCCATTAAACCATTAAACCATTAAACCATTAAACCATTAAACCATTAAACCATTAAACCATTAAACCAATGGTTTCCCCCATATGAGAATCCACTAAACCATTAAACCATTTTCAGGGGGGGGGGGGAACCATTGGTTTAATGGTTTAATGGTTTAATGGTTTAAGGGATTTTCATATGGGGAAAACCATTGGTTTAATGGTTTAATGGTTTAATGGTTTAAGGGATTTTCATATGGGGAAAACCATTGGTTTAATGGTTTAATGGTTTAATGGTTTAATGGTTTAAGGGATTCTCATAAGGGGGAAACCATTGGTTTAATGGTTTAATGGTTTAATGGTTTAATGGTGCTCCTGCCGAGGTACTTCGACCGCAGCTGATGCTGCCGTGGCATCACATATTATCATATATGTAATATAATTTTCTGTATTACATACTCCTAAAATTCTGAATCGCAAGAAATGCTCCCCGTATCTTTTCTTCCCCTCAAATATTGAATCGCAAGCAGTGTCCCCCGTATCTTTTCTGCTCATAAATATACGTATACTATATGGTCGCCTATGTTGATTGCGCCTCGGCTGCATTTAGACACTCAACAAACATGCGAGTTATAACCTGGGAGTGGTGGTTATAACCAGACACTGTTTCGAGAACCATGTTCTCATATTGCAGTGCCTACATGCTCGAGTCGTGAGACTTAGCAAGTTAGCTCCATGAAGCGAGCAGCTCGTGTATCGGGCATGATGGAAATCCTCGGAAACGGCGCTTGTGTGCTTCAGCTCTCGCAAGTCAAAGACGGGCGTGATGTTGACCACACTGTACCCTCATGTAGTTGTACAGTTCCAGATTGTGCAAAGCTGAGAGCCGACATCGTTAGCGGTGTAGTGCCCTCACATCCCAGCAAGCGAAATCTGGACAAGACGGCTATCAACCATTACATCAACTATCTACAGCGGGATGCCGGGCTACCTCGTGGCATGAGTGGTGGATGGAATGACACCGTGCAAGAGAAACTACATGCTTGGCTCATGAAGGAGAAGAAGCGCACCAGAACCAAACAAAATGCGGGCACAGTCCATGCCATCACGGACGGCAGTGTGGAGGACCCCATCGAGGAGGCTAACTCGGATACTCAAGAGGCTCCAGACAAGCAGAAGTCCAAGGGCAAGAAAGCTATCACCATGGGCGAGGGGCACTCAAGCAAAGATAGCCGGGACGACAACAAGAATGCAGGGAACATCTCCAATGGCAACGGGGCCATCACCATGAGCGAGGGGCACTCCAACATAGAGAGTGGGGGCGACTCAGATAGTGACTCGTCATCCAGTTCGTCCTCGTCGGATTCCAGTGCGACGCCACAGGCCTCAAGCTCAAATGCGGCACGCCAACCTGCTGACAGTGAGTGTGTAGATATCACAAAATGGGAGCCTGAATGGCATGACGCCTTTCAGAGTCTCACTGTTTTGGAGGACCAGATTGGGGAATCGCAGAAGAAGCGTCGCATTCTCAAAGATGCGCTCCAGCATTTGGCAAACGCCCACAAGGCATGGGCAAACGCCTAGTGAACATACAGGTTCACTGTAGCAGCACACTTCTTCCCGCGGGGCTGACAGAAACGTGCTTTCTGCATTTATTGTAGTGAGGCGGTGTATCCTTGATGGTTGAGTGTGGCGAGAGCTGTGTATGCATGTGCTATCGAAAACGCTCACGCGCAGTGCAAATGCACATTGACAAGCATGTGCAGGTAATGGACAAGGAGTCCTGTTATAACCGGAGTCTCTGGTTACATCTGTCCTGTTGTGTGGTCATCGCCAAGCATTTTCTTTTCCAGCAATGCCTGGACAACCTTCGGCGTACGCTCGTGCTCTCAATGACATCAGGTCGTACGACTTCACTCCAGTGAGCACTCCCTTGATCTCCAAACAGGATGATGCGAACGGCTGTGTGGAAGATCTACCGCTCAAGAACGTTGAAGGCCGCTACCTCGCCAAGTTTGTCGTTGACATGATCACGGATGTGAAATTCTCGGCTGTGGATTTCGAAGGGCTTGAAGAACGCATGTTGCAGAACCAATATGATCAGCTTCCGCCTCCATTTTGTCCCAAAGTAGAGATCTGCGCTCCTTTCAAGATGCAGCTTGCTATCATCAAGACCAGCATCACGGACTGCGTTATCTTGAAGTGCTACACGTTCGAGAACAAGACAAACATCCGAACCGTCGAGGACATCGCGTATGGGACATTGAAGATGATTGATTTCACACCCAACTTTCGTGCTGGACCATTGGCCATTCAGTTGATGCTCAAGGAGATGTCGCACTGGCTGGCCTACTACACTCAGATATCGCCCAAGCCTCCCAAGGAGCCCAAGCCGAAACAAGAGACTGATGATCTTCAAAACGGCTTTGCTTACATCAAGTCTAACGGGCCGCGGACTAACATGGGCAACCAGCAGATCGAATGGGCAGAGATTGAAACCAAGCGTGCAGAGAGTCCACTCCATGGATGGTCGGCAGGCTTGGTGAAGGAGTGTCTTCGAGGGCTCACAAGTGGTAATGTCTATGCGAAAACTGTGGAGAAGTTCTATCTGACTCTCCACGACCTCTCGGGCTGGCTGTTAGACGAGGTGCTCGTGCATCTTCTTGGCGAACTGAAGGCGAAAACTCTTGTCTTCCTTGGCCTGGCCGAAAAGGGAAAAACGCCGGCAGCAGAAGCGATTGCAATGGCGGTCAGTGAGTATCACCTGCTCCGAGACAATCTAGATCCAACCATCAGGCCGGGTTTCAGAATTTGTGCGTCCTTGGATCAATTGCGTGGCGAGTCTGGCGAGAAGCATCGGCCAGACATTCTGGATGATCCAGATATGAACACACTGCCGATTCCCAAGCTCAAGAGTTTTCTTGACAGCACATTGCTTGAGTGCCACACGGTTGAACGATGGACAGCCGCTCGGTTCGTGCAACACCAGCTACGTGTGGTGTGTGACAACAAGGTGGACGAGAATGCAGAACCTGATGACACATGCGATACGACAACATCCTTCGAGATTTTCTTTGAGATGATCAAGCCAGCCTTCAACGAAAAGGCAAGCAGACAAGACATCATGGCATGCCTCAAACGAGCTCACTTTGTGGTCAACATGAACCACGCAGTCTTCTTTCGGAAGGCTGGCACTTCGAAAGGGCCCGTCACTCGCGTTCCCTACATCAATGGCAACAAGGATTTCCTCAGCCCTGTTGGCCAGAAGGTGATTGATGATATGCGCCAAGGCATTCCAGATCAGCCTGCGGACTGGGCTCAGAAGCGCCAATGGTCTCATGATCTTATGTCCATGCTCACAGAGACACAGCAGAAGCCTGCGCGGACAAGAGTTGTGTTTGAAGCCAACCTCTTCACTGAGAGCTCACAGAGGTACAATGAGATCAAACCCGACTTGCCGTTCTCAGGCCGAATCTGCCCTAATTTTTTATGCTCTGAAGATACACTCTCGATGCCAGCCAAGTCCACCTCTGTCGCCTCGATGGCACCTTCATCGTCGGCGGCACCTTCGCCCTCAGGGATGGCGCCTTCATTGTCGGCGGCACCTTCGCCCTCAGGCATCATGACAAAGGTGAAAGAGGAGTGTGTTGAAGGAGAAGGTTCGTTTGCCATGATGCTTTCGAATCCAGATGCGATTGGAGTCATTGACTTGGACCCCACTCCACCATCACCGTCACATAAGCGAATGCGTGGCAGTGACGAGATGGACTATGATAGCGATGACCACATGCCATTAGCAGGCGAAGACCCTGAGGAGTGAGCGGTTCCGACCTAGAGATCCCACTTCAGTTTGATCCCGGGTAGAGTGCACCAATCGGATGTGGAGCTAGGACAGCTTCAGTTTTGATCCGAGATAGAGCGTATGATGCAAATTCGGAGAGCATATGAAGCGGAGTCTGAGCCGGGGAAACTCTGATAAAGACTTCCTTATGCACCGGTAAAACTTGTGGTCTATGTGCAGGCATTTAGACGAGCATCGCAGCGAAATGTGATTCCATGTCTGCTTGCCCTAAAGGCATTTTGCTTACATGTGAGTGGGTTGATATGCCGTTGCTACCTAAAACCGGTGGCCTACATGGCAGGCGCTTGGATGACATCACTTTTCTTGACTTCCAGAAGAAGATGTGTGAAGAGTGGTTTCAGTCCGACACATCCTTCAAGCACTACATCATAGATCGACGGGTGCTGGATAGCAACGGGCAAAACGTTAGCTTGACATTGAGAGCCATTGCTTTGATGCTGCGAACTGGCATTATATTGGGAATGCACAAGTGCACGGAATGCAATGGTCCCACTCGGTTGGAGTGCTCTAATCCAGATGGGTGTTTGAGATACAGATGGACATGTCGGACAAGCGGACACAAACATATGAATGCTCCCGTCAACTTTCACGGGTTCATGAAAGAGATCACAATCAGCAATTGGCTAGCATTCCTTCACATGCTGAATATGCTACGCCTGGGTATGCCTTGGGTACATATCATCAACGAGCTTCAGTTCGGCTATGGCAATATCAAGGAGCACACGATGACTCAATGGCGTCGATCTTTTCAACAAGCCTTGGGGAGGGCGTTGAAGAACATGGACCAAATGATGATAGGAGGACTGAACTACACCGTCGTGATTGACGAATGTCTGGTTGGCACACATCCAGAGGATGGCTGGTCAATGGGCAACAACGGCATCAACAAGAGTGGCTACCCACAGGAACGAAGCAATGTGCGTTCTGAGACCCCTTCCATGAAGAAGGCCCAGGGTATGAAAGTCCTCCCTGCGAGGACACTCAGAAAAGGTGAAAGCAAGGCGGCGGGATCGTACACCCTCCTCAAAAAGCCTGCTGCCGTCATGAAACGTCCATCTGCCGCAGTGAAGAGACCATCGACCTTTACCTCCATGAAACGTCCTGCGGCGCATCGACGTCCTCTTCGTGTACTGAAGAAGCCCGCGCAGAATCTCAAGCTCAATGGAAAGTGGTTGTGGCTTGCTGTGTGTGTTGGTCGTGGGTCTAAGGTCTTCACACATGGAAATGGTTTGAGGAAGATCACGTACAGACTCTTGCCACGTACATCCCAGGCTGTAAATAACAAGCCTCGTGGGCTGCATGAGATCAGGGACACTCTGCACAGTAGGGTTCGCAAGCACAGTACCCTAGTCTTTGACGGGTGGACTGCTACTACAAAGGCAGCAGATCAGTTAGGGTACAAGCATCCACCATCGGTCAAGCATGACAAATGCTTCCGAGATGTTGCCACTGGTTTCCATACCAATGATGCCGAGTCAGAGAATAACCGCTTGAAGAAATGGTCTCGCCAGCGGCACGGGTACTTGCGTATCGAAGAGCCCGATATGCAGGAGTACATGTTCTATGTTAATGTCGGTAGCTCCATGATGTCAGTGCTAGAGGGCCTGGCACGGTCGAATGAAGGTGGCAAGTGCAGAAATGCATTCATCGCCATCTAAGCACATTCGCGACAGTCGCGACAACAGTGGGGAAAAAATCCAGTGCGACAGTGTGAGCTGCAAAAAAAAACACCTGAATAAAAGCATGTGCGCACCATCTGAGGTGCCTACGTCCTCGTCAGCCTGGACGAGCTCTACAAATATATATACGAGTGGGTATGTGTCAATAGAATATATAGGGATATAAGTTATAACTCATATGTTGTGGTTATAACTGTCATTCAGTGTTAGATTATACATACGGTTATGACGTTGAAAAAACTAAGGGGAACCGCAATAGGCGGACGCCCATATATATATATATATAAATAAATATATGCTCACCCCCCCCCCCTCGACAGACCCCGGAAGCGAAAAAAAGGCTGAGGGCGCGACGGACAGCATAGCTGCACACAGTAGCCAGACACGTTAACACACAATAGAGCATATTTTTTCGATTGGTACGGTTTTGTGTTCGCAATGAAAGATGCAGACAGATGTGAGAAGGGCGCATGCTGTAAGGACCTGAACAATTTGCTCGACATCGTGGATTGCTATTAATTCTAATAAGATTGCTCTTAGTTTTACTTGGGTTCCTATTAAGTTTATTAGGATTCATAGGCTTCGTATGAGTTCAATAGGAATCCTATTTCAATCAATAGGAATGAATGAGAACCCTATTGAAATTAAGACGAGTCTTTTTGGAAACTTAGTAAGAATCCTAGTACAATTAATAAGAACCTAGTTGAAATACGTAGAAGCTCCTATTGAAATTTCTTGGCGTTCTAAATTCAGAGGAACCATAGGAAGGCCATTCAAATGAATAGGAACCCTTTAGAATTCATAGGGATGCTATTAAAATTGATAGGAACCCTACAAAAGAATCTATGACTTCTTTTTAAGAGTAAAAGGAATCCGTTTAACATGAAGATGAATCCTATTAAAGGATTAAGAGGAGCCAATAAAATTCTATAAAAAAAGTAATGTGGACCCTTCAAAACTTAAAACAATAAGAGTCGTACTGTTAGAATTATAATGAACCCTATTAAAACATTTAATTTATAGGATTGCCAATAAAACAAATAAGAGTTACAATAACATTACTTCGAGTCCAATTGAAATGAATAGGGAACAGGATTTAGAAACATAATCGGAGCACTGTGGAATCTAGTAGGAATCCTATGAACATTATTAGACTTCCTGTCAACATGAATGAGAAACCCTGTTAAAATGAATACGAAGCCTATTCCAATTAATCAGAAGCCTTTTTAAATGAATAGGAAGCTTGTCAAAGCAAAAGGAACCCAATTAGAAATTGTAAGACATCTTATGAAAATGAATAAGAAGCCTATTGAGATTAATAGGAATATGTATAAAATGTGTTATGAAGCTTATTAAAATTCTAAGACTTTTATTGAAACTAACTAGGAAGAAGAATGCTGTTACAATTACTCAGACTCGTATTCCAATTATTTGGCATTTGATTAAAATGAATAGGAATCAATATCAAACTCCAGTAGCTGTTGCTAGCATAGCTCTCTGTGTTTTTAATATATTTCATATTTCTCATGAGTGTAGAACCCCTAAAAGAATCTCACCAAAACCCGAGTTTCCAAAAATCCAAAAATCCCAACCCAAGTTTCGGATTTTTGGAAACTCGAGGAATTTGCTCAAAATCCAAAAAAACCCAAAATTCCTCGAGTTTCCAAAAATCCAAAAATCCAAAAATCCCAACCCCAGTTTCGGATTTTTGGAAACTCGAGGAATTTGCTCAAAATCCAAAAAAACCAAAATTCCTCGAGTTTCCAAAAATCCAAAAATCCAAAAATCCCAACCCCAGTTTCGGATTTTTGGAAACTCGAGGAATTTGCTCAAAATCCAAAAAAAACCCAAAATTCCTCGAGTTTCCAAAAATCCAAAAATCCAAAAATCCCAACCCCAGTTTCGGATTTTTGGAAACTCGGGGAATTTTGGTTTTTTTTGGATTTTGAGCAAATTCCTCGAGTTTCCAAAAATCCGAAACTGGGGTTGGGATTTTTGGATTTTTGGATTTTTGGAAACTCGAGGAATTTTGGGTTTTTTGGATTTTGAGCAAATTCCTCGAGTTCCCAAAAATCCGAAACTGGGGTTGGGATTTTTGGATTTTTGGAATTTTGGAAACTCGAGGAATTTTGGGTTTTTTTGGATTTCGAGGCTCCCGCTCGAGTTTCCAAAAATCCGAAACTGGGGTTGGGGATTTTTTGGATTTTTGGATTTTTGGAAACTCGAGGAATTTTGGGTTTTTTTGGATTTTGAGCAAATTCCTCGAGTTTCCAAAAATCCGAAACTGGGGTTGGGGTTTTTGGATTTTTGGATTTTTGGAAACTCGAGGAATTTTGGGTTTTTTTGGATTTTGAGCAAATTCCTCGAGTTTCCAAAAATCCGAAACTTGGGTTGGGATTTTTGGATTTTTGGATTTTTGGAAACTCGAGGAATTTTGGAGTGGTGCTCTTCCCCCCCCCTCGCTTCCTGGACAGATCGGAAATACAATTCCGGGGTCTGTCGAGGGGGGGGGGGGGTGACCAAATATATATATATATATATATAACATAGAGAAAAGTGCAGGTCAAGAACGCTCCAGTAGAACATTCTATTGTGTCGTTCTTGCTTAGTGCAGTCTCTTTAGAGCTGGACTCTCCAAATGTGGGAAGCAATCCCCATAAGTTTTGTTCCTTCCGAGCCCCCGTTTTCTTTATTTGTGGGGGGAATCTGCCATCCCTGGCTTGCGGGACATCGGTGTAGCGTGCGGGCGGGCGTGCGCGGGCCCAGGACAGCACTTGTTTCGAAGCTGGTAAGCGTGGTCTGCTGCATTATATCTCCTAAAGAAGGTGCGGGATTTAAAGTTCAGTCGTTTGGCTCAGGGCAGGAAGCCGACCCCAGAAGTTTCAGCGACGACTAAACTCTGGAACTCAGACCGAGTTTTCCTAAAAGCTTGGCAGGGGGTTTAGGCTTTCGGGTTTGGGGTTTATCGTTGAGACCGCTTGTTCATACTGTAGTGTTGACCTGCCACACTACATCGACCAACCTCGGCTTACTGGCGAAGTGTAAAATTTGTAAATGTCCAAAGGTGCGGAGAGTAGGCACCTAGTGCAAGATTTGGAAGTTCCGGGCTGATCAGCATGGGAGTCTGAAAGCAGAGGCAAGCAGCCTGGATCCTTAAATGCATTGCTGCCATGATGGTTCAAGGGGTTTATAGGGTATCGGTTTTAGAGTGCTTGCAGCTTTCTGCCCGGAACTTCCCCTTTCAGCCGGCTTGTTGCAAGCCCGCGCCTTTCGTGGAAA